GGCGGAGGTGGGAGCGGCGCTGGAGCGGCGGGAGCCGGGGCGAGATCGGCGGTGAGCTGGGGCGGGACTCCCGCGGCTGCCGCTCCAGGCACGCGGCTTGTCTTGGGCACAGGGGCCGCTCTCTCCGGGAGGTTCTGGCTCCCGACATGCAGGTCCGATCCCGGCCCGCCACTCCCAGCCCGCTTTTCTCCGCTCCGTCCAATCGTAGCCCGCCCTTTCAATGGGGCCGCAGTCCCGTAAGGTGTGCCCGCCCAGCCGCGGGGCGGCACCGCCCCCCTTCCCCACGTTCCCCTCAGGCGCTGTAGGTGCCGGCGCCTTTGCTTCCGGAGCCGCGCCTGCGCTGCCGCAGCCCCCGACGGGCCCTGTTGGGACCAGGGAGGGCGGGTGGCACAGCTCCGCGCTCACGTCCCGTCTGGGAGTTCTTCCGGGAGGCGGGGAGGGGGCGGGAGCGGCCCTTTCAATGGGGCCGCGGTCGAGCAATCTCTGCTCGCTCAGCCGCGGCGCGGAGCCGCCCCCCTCTCCACCTCGCCCCCCGCGTTCCCCTCAGGCGCCGGTCTCGGCGCCTTTGCTTCGGGGTCCGGCGGAGCCGCGCCTGCGCTGCCGCGGTGCCCGCAGGCGCTGTTGAAAGGGCGGGTGGGAGGCCCGCGGTCCTGTCCCGTCCCGGAGTTCTCCCGGGAGAAGGGGAGGGAGGCGGGGAGCGGGCGGAAGCGGAGCAGCCCCTGGGAGCGGGGCGTGAGGGGACAGCGGGATTCTTGGGACGGGCAGGGCGGGAGCGGGCAGGCGGGGATTGGCCGGGCCGGACGCTGCCGGACGCTGGGATTGGCTGGGCTGGCACGAGGGGGCGGGGCTGTGCGGGCCGCGGGCTATAAATGGCGTGGGGGGGGGCCCCTGGGGGCAGTTCGGCGGCGGGGCTGGGGGCGGCGCTGGAGCGGCGGGAGCCGGCCCGGGATCGGCGCGGCCGCTGGGCCGAGGAGCGGCGGTGAGCCAGGCTGGGACCCTCGCGGCTGCCGCTCCAGGGAGCGGTGGGGAGCCATGGGGCAGCACCCCCTCGGCTGCCGATCCCAGGGGGAGCCGGGGTCGGTCCCCCGCAGCTGCCGAGGCAGGGCGTTGGGCAGGCGGTGTCCCGGGCAGCTGTGCCGGCCAGCTTTGGTCAGTGCTCGGGGGGGAGCAGCCCATGCTCAGGGGTGCTCCCCCGGACCAGAAGGACTAGCATGCAACCTCTCAGTGGGGCTGGTATTGAAAGTATTGTTACAAAGAAAAGTAATAAAAGATGTTTCATTCTATTATAATTTTATTCTAATTTTATTTTCATCTTTGACTACTTGATTGTTTATTCTGTTGTTTTGTTGCTGTTCCCGTTGGGAACAGAGATATTTAAGTGAATGACAAAGACTGATTTGTGACCTTGTCAACAGCCCCGGGCTGCAGAGATACCCAGCAGCAGATTTAGGCAGAGGCAGCAGAAAGCTGAGGCAGAGGCAGCAGAAAGCTGAGGCAGAGGCAGCAGAAAGCTGAGAACCTGGAGCTCAGGCAGCAGAACTGGTGGAGACATAAAGACGGTAGGACTGTGGGCAAAAAAAGAGTGGGGCTGGATTAGGGAGCATGGACCTGGCATAAGTACAGCAGGGAGGGAGCTGGGATAAAAATAGTCAGGCCTGGCCTGGAATGTGGGCTTGAGAGCTGGGGTGGAAAACTCAGACCTTTAACAAAAGAAAGCTGCTAGGATTGGAACGTGCAGCAGCTTTACCGGGAGCTGACAGCAGAGCTGGCAGAGAAATAAAGGTTGTGGGTCTGGCTATGGGATAGGGAGAGCAGTGCTCGGGAAGGGACTGTGGAGCAGGGATAGGGACTGTGGCACTGCGGCAGAAATCACTGTAGGATTGAGACAGGGACTGGCACCGTCGCTGAAACATCTGTGTGTCTGTGGAATAGGGATTGATGGGTGGGAACATGGACTGGGGGGGAAGAGCTGAAATCACTCTAGGGCAAGGATCTGGACTTTGGAGTTGGGATGGGGTTTGTGGGGCTGGAGGAGCTCCTGGGGGACTGGGATTGGGAGTGTGCGGATGGAGCTGGAAAGTCGCAGAGCTGGAGCCAAGATGAAGATCCTGCAG